AGAGCAACAAGAGATGTAACTCATCGGCATGACATGCCCAAAGGACCCAACCTCCTCGGCCCGAGGGGCCAGCAGTTGAGGCCCGGTGGAGATACCCAGAACATCCAAGAAGCAACATGATCATCAGCTGCAGGTCTTTTTGTTTGAACATATATTATGAATTATTATGATATATAATGATATATATATATGTATATATGTATATATGTATATATGTATATATGTATATATGTATATGTATATTATGAACAATTAAGGGCCCCAAACCTTAAAAGGATGACGATAAAGGATGATAAAGGCAATCTCCAGCTCCAGATGGCTAGCCAGGATGCTGCCAGCAAAAGATGGCAGGGCGCTCTGGCATGGCGGACAATGACCTACACAGCTGGACATCTAAAAAGCTGAGCACACGGCAAGAGCATCAAGCTACATTAGAAGGTGTATGGAGGGGTCAAAGTGTCCTGCAGATCATGGGTGAGGGATACTCAGGAAAGCTGTAAAAGAGCATGGGAGAAGCTTCTTGAATGGTGTGGGTGAGCATTTTTGGACCTCAATGTCATCATGGATTTTAAATCGACGTCCGAGTTGTAAATATGCATGAATGATAATACATTAGAGCCGGGAGTTTGCATAGGGCGGCTACAGAGCTGAGACCTACTACGAGAAGATGAAGCGGCAAGCAGGACCTGCAAGAACTTCGCAACACAAAGTCATCGAGATGCAAATACGATTCTATTGTTTGCCTGTTGTGGCTTCCCATGTTGGTTTGTATGAACATGTACCAACATGTGCTACTCTCAATTCCAAAGCATTATCATTCATCATTTCCCATTAAGTTTAATTACAATTTTGGGGTGCCCCCTATTTTTTTGACCTATGGATTTTTTTCGGCATATATCAAATGTCTCCCCTCTGTTCTGTCTCTCGGATGCAAGATTGCTGCCATGGTTCTCCTTCAGGTTGCGTTTCTTTTTTTCTGGCATTCTGGCTTGGGCCATCTTGAGCCTTTACGGCAAGCAATTTCATCTAGCATTTGGCAGTTGCATGCAACGACTTGTATGCTTCCTTAATGGGCTGCCGTTGGCTTCACAGCAACTGCTGAAATTCTACTGGTAGGCAATGGGGTCACTCTTTCCGCATGTGCTTGGACGTACCAAAGAAGTCAATCAATGCAAGGACAAATCAAGGCAATGTCATCGTCGTTCAGGATGAGCGCTTCATTAGGATATGATTGGCAACAACCTTCCGTCTAGATGTTGTAAATCGACATGTTGATCTACACTGCGTTTACCAACGGCTTTTAACACACAGAGATACACCTTCCATATAAATATGTGACATTACATGGCAATACGTGCAGCACATTTCTTTGCATACATTACATTACATTGCACTACCTTACTTTACATTGCATCACAATCACATCACATGACATCATGAAATTGCGCACTCCGTTGATTCCTGTATGTGCATTTCTGAGCATCACGACATATTGCATTCATGTCTGTCATTACACTACATTTATCTCACATTTCATGTGTCATAGACAAGCATGCATATCATTTTCTTGTCTGTGATGATACCTCATCAAGTGAATGACATCGTGGACTGCTCGGGTATGATGCTTTTGCATGCTTTTGCATATCGTTGGTCAAGATGCCCTCACACACATCTGGGTAGATCTGGGTTAGGTCGGCTGGGACCACTGGGATCACCCATGCCAGCGCAGCATGAGCGAGTGCCATCCCCAGCACCTTCCCTGTCCTCTTCGCAGCAGTCGGTGGCATCTTCCTACCAGGACGGGGGGATGGAGTGGCGTTGAGCCGTTGAGCGATGAAGTGAAGTGATCCATCAGCGAAGATAGAGTCGCAAGAGATGGTGCGAGTGATGTTTGAACATGTCTTGGAATGTTTTACACGCAAACACCCACACATGTATATATATATATATATATAAAATATATGTTTATCATATATCATATGATATATATATATATATACAAATGTACACACACTGTGTACATATATATATATTATATTCCTGGCATGCAGCAAGTAGACTGTCTGATGACCATGGAGAGAGATGTTTTTCATTAGGCCTCCGGTGACCATGACGATCGAGCAAACGTCCCCAATAATTAATCCCATCTACCAAATATTTAACATCCCATAAGTATCCATCAATGGTCCCACATATATGATAATATGTGTAAAGTTTCTTGGGGGATGTTCAATATTAGGGGAAAGCGATTAGCCAGTATCCCAATGTCCATCAATATCATGATGACTTTGCCTCCAAGTTGTAAGGCCAGCCCCCATGTTGTTGTGGCAGGGCCACCAGTCTCATCAAAGCGCCTCTAAGAGCCTTTTTCCGTCTGCCTCCGAAATGAGCAAGAGCGCACGGGGCTCAGCTTCCCAGTCCAAGAATGAGGAAGCTTATATACATGATTCAACTACATAATATAGTATAATAGAATATACCATAATACCATAATTATAATTTGTATACGATAGCATGCAATGATATGATTTGATATGATATTATATACCGTAGTAAAATGTAGTACATGAAACTTAATGGTATTGGTATAATGTAACGTATCAACATAAACTATTGCAGAGCCCACAATTTCCGGCAATTCTCAGGACAACATGGTGACGATGATAGTCATAACCCGCGGGAAAGTTATTTTGTGGATTTTGGGTGCCGTGTTGTCTTTCGTATGGAATCGGCTGTGCGTGCTTGTGTGTGTATATAAATAAACAAATAAATAAATAAATAAATAATGATAAATATATATATATATATGTATATAATATATATATATATATACATATGTGTGTGTGTGTTGTATACCCGCAAAGCTGAAGCGGGCACAAATTTGTAGTGCAAATCCGCGAAGATGTCCATTCACGGACGATTGGGGTATGTGACTGCAACCCCATGAGCAATCCAAAGAACGATGAGAACGTACATCTTTCGGACAATAGTTTCAAACTCAAACCCACCCTTTTTTCAAATGACCGAGCCGTCAAATTTTTGTTTCATCGGTTTTGTGTCAAGAATTGATTAACGATTTTCATGTACGGATACATAAGGGTGCTTTGCTGTTGAACGTTGGCCTGTCAGGTAAGTGGATATATTTTTATGTTCCCATGATGCCGTATCAGAGACATTGGATGGAAAAACATGCAGGAAAAATATTGTACCGCAATACTATTGCTATTAGTTACTGGTGTAACATATAAACGTATTCATACGGGTACTGTAAATCAAAATCTCCAGACATGTCTCCTCTGGTTAGTTCTCCAACTTCTTCCAGCTTCGACTGGATCAGAGGTGAAGGCGCGAATGGCTTCGGGCATTTGGAAACGGAAATCCAAAAAGGCCGGCCCAGGCTCCCAAGTGGGGTTTCCTAAACCCCAAAGTCATCAAAACTTTGTCATTTTTAATAGGAAGACATGGAAGACCAAGGGTTTTGGAGCTCCCCTGTTTGTAAGAAATTAGCAAACGATGGCCCAAAGTTGTTTAATTTATTTATAAGTTACTTGTGAATACATCAGCGTTGTATGTTTGAAAAACGTTGAAACCAATGGGCTGCTTTGCACCCCTCGCAGGCTGGAAGGGGATCTGTACATTGTGGAGTCTCACAAAAAGGGGTTATCATTCTCCGGGATGGATCGAGATTCCCAATAGAAACCATCCGGTCAAAGGTGGCAATGAGACATCACCGAAGCAAATGAAGGTTTATAGCTGGGAAATGCTGGGAATATCATCGAACGAACTGGGGGATTTTCATGGATTGTCCAGTTCCTGCCATCTCAGGCCATGTCACTGGACAGCCGCAAGATTCCCCACCAGGAGCCTATTGAAGAGCTGGTGACCAGGAGCACCGAGGATGGGCATTCTGGTTGTCCAACAAGTTATGACCCTGACTGAAATTGTCCAGGGTATGCGCATCAGGGTTGAATGGCATTTGATAACTCCACGACCAAAGAAAGATCATTTGTATTAATATATATGAAATGAAAGATCTGGAAAGATTGCAAGGTCTTGAATGATTTTGCAAGATCAAGGATACGTTTACCACACTGATTTTGTTTCCAGCCTTGGGAGGAGTGCCAGTGGTTCGGAATACGAAGCGCGGAGGATGGCAACTTTCATCAACTTTCTTACCGCTGTTGAGTGTTCCAGGCTGTCACCCTGGATTGACAGGTGTCATGTCAATTGAATCTTGAAGCATCCAATCAAGGGACTGGCTTGAGCAACAAAATCCAAATTTCGAAAAGGTCTCCTTCGAACCTCCTGATGAAATTTAGCCCTAGCCCTAGTGATCCCTAGTGTGGGTGGGCACGCTATTATAGTTTCCAGTGTTATGTATGAACACACGTATTTAATCTAGATATATATATATATACATTTATTCATCTCACACGCTCTTGATTCGCCATTTCTTCCATCGAGAGTGTTCCAAAAGTGATCACATGTGTTCCCTCAAAACTGTTGGACCAGTTATGCAGATGAAACGATGATCACGGGGGCCTCCAATTGTCAGAACATCCTCTCATCATGCTTTCCACTTCGGCATGCCAGCGATGGTGAGGAGGAACTCAAATAGCACTGTTCCCTTGCGGAGTCAGCTGCCACTAGGTGCCAGGGAGTGGGCTGGTACAGACTTGATTGATTGAGCTGATTCGTTGCATGACATACAGCAGATTGATCGATTGAGCTGGTGCTGATTCGTTCCTGTCATGTCGGCGGGGCCATCAGACGCCATCAGATCTTTATAAGGAACAGGGCATAGTGCTCCGAGCTCAGGGGCTCAGTATTTGTAATTTCTAAGTTTAGGTGGTTTATATGCCACAACAGTCCTAAAATGCACAGTCCTGCCCAATCCGGTACCACATTTTACCAGCCAATCATACATCATTGACATCAATTGATCCTGGTCATTCCATTTCCGTGGCATTTTCTGCGGGAGCCGCCTTCTGCTCCCTGCCATGGCGCCGGACCCGGAGTCCCCAGCAGCCGGCGGCTACCGCCGCATCCTGGTGCCGCAGAAGCGGCGCCCGGCGTCGCCGGCAGCGCAGCTTCCGGGCTGCTTGGCCGGGGTGGTGGCATCGGGGGCGGTGGCCTTCGACTGGGAGGCCGGAGGGTCACCGGTGCAACGACGCTTGAGGAGTTCCTCACCCAAGACCTGTGGCTTGGTGGCGATGGGAGATGGTGGAGAATTGCGATGATCGTGTGTTTTCAATGCCGCCCAATGTCATCCAATCTCATAATGTGTTTGGCCCCGACATGCCCCGACATTTTCAGCAGTTTCTGACAGTTTCTGCCTTGCGGTGGTAGCCGGATGAAGCCCGAGGTGAAGGGCTGAGAGGCTCCTTGGTTCTGGGCCAGCATAGTCCGCGACCGTACCACAATGAGGACCAGGGAATGGCTGAACGAGGTTGAAGGTGGTTTATCGTGACTTATCCAGATCCTTTTTATGGTGGGTTTGGGCTTGCTACAAGATGACAACTCAGAGGCAATTATTCAGAGGTGAGTTTCTGTGAGGAGTGGTCGGATGCCCAAGTGAAACTTACAACATATTTCAAAATTCGTTAAAGCCTTTCTGCTCTCGAAAATTGCAGAGGGCTGTCGACATGTTTCCATCAAACTCTTGCATTTGAGTTGGCTTTGGGCGATGTATGCTTCCGCGGGTGTCGCTATGCCCACACCGTCCTGATCCGTCCTGTCCTTTATTTGGAATCAGGAGAAGACCACGTTTATGTTCGACTCCTCTCCTGCGATGGGCGGGGTGCGGGCACGATCGTTGCGGAGAAGTGGGTTATCCGCAGCTGCGCGAAATCTTTCCCCTACATGGACTATGGGGGCGACTTGTTTTGAGGTGGGTATGGTTTGGAACCTGTATGGTTCGAGCATGTCCAAAAAGATCGAAAAGATGATAAAGTCAAAGTATGAAAAATTCAGGCCCCAAGAACTTCTTCTAGTAGTACAGAATCAAGGCATACGTATGCCGCAACTGTATACCCATCATTTTTGCGAGCCCTTGGGCATGTTGCGACACCCGTGAAGGTTTGTGCTTTGGGGTGCCCCTGAGTCAGAGTCGATGATGAGGCACAAAATCATGATGAGGCTTAACACCCACAAAAAGGCATCCAAACGTTTGACGTTGCATGTACATCCTGGTTTTGTAGGTCTCAAGGTTTCCTGATGTTTCCTGTTCAAGAAGCATGTGCCAGATTTTGTGGCTACAATTGGGACGTTCCAAGAGTACAGGCTACAATTTTGAATTTCAAGCGGCAGACACGCACAGAGACACGCACACACACACACAATCCCAAGAGGGTAATTTTTTGGGATGGTGAAAAAATAGGAACCTTGATATCATTTCAATCCATGGTTTGGGGATGTTCGGGCAGTCATTTTGCCACAGCAGTAGCAGTCATTATCCCATAGCAGTCATAGCATACCCTGGTTACTAAACCGTTCCGACTTGGCACACCTCCTTCAACACCTTTACGATCCTTCATGTTTATTTTTAACATTTTTTAACCACCCCTTTCAAAATCCACACTTGTTGGACACCTTTTTTTGAACCTTAAAACGCCTTCTTTAAGCACCTCCAATAGGCGCCCTTCCGGGGATCCCTTCGCACCGAGGAGAACTTCCCTCCAGAGGCTGCGCAGGAGTCCTTCCCGACAAAGCGTCGGAGTTTGAGCCCACGGAGCTTGATGTCGCAGATCCTCAATGGGGAGGACGCGGTCAGGATGAGATATTTGATAAGTAGGATGATTTTTGATGCATATTAATGTATTTTATGTATAAGCCGCCCCAAAAGATTGGAGAGGAATTTCATCACTTTTAGTATAGGAGTTTACTATAAGTTTACTTTTCCATTTTTTTGCGAGTGAATCGGAGAATGGAATGTAGCAAAACGACAATGCCTCGGCCTTGAACCCGCTTTGCTGCAGTGATTGAGCACATTAAAGCGCGGATTTTTGCTCGAATGAAAATCTGCACAACTTCAAGATTGGTGGTTTTACATGGGTTTTACATGGTTTTACCATGTTTTACGTATTCTCCAGTTTTGGCAAGACAGTTTGGCAGAGGGCTTAGCTAAAATAGCTTCATGCCGGAGGATGAGCCAATTCACCGCCGCCTCCGCGGTCGTGCGCCAGCACTGCGGCTTTCTGGGCGCCGGGCGGTGGAAACTTTCGTCCCAGTAACAGCGGCTCAGCCATTGCCTCTCGGTGGCTGATGGGATTGGGGGTCCAGCAAGGGTTTAACATGGTTTCACCATGTTTCACCAACCAGAATTGGGAGGTTTAATACGGTTTAATAATCCTTAAGGACAGAAATGGTTGGTGCATGGTCTTAATACAGAGAGTTGCTACAGTCGTGCCTAGATTAGTGGGAATCGTTGAAAATAGCTTGGGAGCACTTGATTTTCAAAAGTCATGCCTTGTTTTATGAATCGCATAGGAAATGCATGATTTTCTTGCTTTCATGTCTGGAGTTTGGACTTATGATAACTTATGATCTTATATAAATCCTGCGTTGAGGTGGTGTTTGGCATGTCGGTTGAAAACTTCACATCTGAGTTACTTAAGACTTGGTCGTTGCATTTAGGTGGTGTTTTGATCATTTTCATACTTCAAGTTGTAATTTTCAGGAACTCTGCTTTGTGCGTAGCCATTTCTTCGTTTATGCTCAACATACTAGAAGTCTCATGTTGTTGAGCCATCAGGTGGGGAGTGGCCTTTCCTAGGCAAAAAATTGACGTCGCTTGGACGTCGTTCGGGCGTCGTTCTGACGTCGTTTTTTCCTACTATATATCATATCCCTTATCTCACACTTCACTTTCAGATTCACTATTCATTTTACAGTACAACAAACCATTATCAAAATTGATCCATCAGCGGCTTGCTCTGCCGCCCATGCAACTCAAAACCCAACACTTCCTATAGGCTATAGGTTTACTATCTTTGAAACCGCCACCGCCTTGTGCGCTGCTACTGGTACCAGTTAATCAAAATGAAGCAAACATTTCCGCTGCATTATAGATGGTGATTTGGGTTGCGGGCATGACATAGGCATGACTTCCTTGAAACTGCATTTAGATGGGTGACAGCAGATTTTCAGCACACAGGCGTGACTTAGGCATGAGTTTCGCGCTTTCCTGTATGTTAAGCATATGTTAAACGGTTAAAAACGGGATGATGATGATCCTCAATGACGAGCATCATTTTTTGGAGCGGGTGGAACCGCCAACCAGGTCAAGCAAAACAGGGTCAATACAATACAATACCTATGGGAACATGGGGTGACCATGACCCATGCCCAACTGCAGGACCCTGAAACATATTTAGAAATCATCCTCCGAACCCTTTTTTGGGGCTCCAAGTTCATGTCTAGGGATGTGCAGTTTTTGTGGCCAGATGTTGCTACATGTGACACTTGAGGGGGTTCAATAGCCCTCAGTGGAGTCAGGTTTTCCAGCAGTGTCAGGACAATGTTCAAGCCATCTCCGGCGCTACCGGAACGCCAGAGCAAAGAAGATGCGGCCATTGCCATGGAAACAGCAAGGCCCATCATGTGGTTTGGTGAAGATGGCCAGGAGGTTCGGTTGGGGGGGTGGACCTAAAGGCATGATAAATCGTGGGATTGTTTAGTTCCAGTGAGCGCTGGAGCAATGAAGCAGCTACTGGTACGTATGCTTACGCCTTACAACAACAATTAAAAACAGACAAAAAAACATGGGTATCCTGGGTATATCTGATTTCTCAGAGGTTGAAGGTCGCGTTGATGTGTGGGCTGCCATGACTCTAACATCCAGGAGCGTTGGAGTCCCTTTTCCTGGTCTCCGAAGCCCATCACCCGTGCCGGTGAGTTCTCCCCACGTCGCGCGGGCCGCGGGCTCGTTGAGGGGAGCCCCAGAAGTCACAGTCCAGCAGGACCCAAGAGCCCCACGGTCTACGGCATTGAAGGTCGATCCCATCGTAAGGGCCTTTGCTCCCCCAGAGATGTGCGATGTAGCGTTTTTGAGGCAGACAGCACCGACGCCCGGCAATGTGGTGAGATGTTGTGATATGTTATGATGGCAGTGGGGTTCACTTTAATTAAGGTTCCTTTAATGTTCCTTTAAAGGTCTATGGCTTTAGGAAGCAGAATCTAGGGTGTTCAAAGTTTGAGCCAAGGACTGCAACTTGAAGCGCGGGAAGCTCCAGGTGGGACGAGGTTGTACCTCACCTTATTTTAAAATGCCGGTTGTATATGGTTGGATCCCCACATCCGGATTCCTGGTGCAAATCCCGAACTTTCCAGGTGAAGACGGCTCCCCCAACTGGCGGCATGTCAGCGGCACTGCAGTGGCGTGGCTGATGGGAAACACAGCCAGTAGAGCTTCGACGATGACGCCAAGTCTTCGATTTTCATGGCCTTGTGAAGCCGTGGCCGAGGGGATTCTAAGATAATCATCCAGATTTCGGAGAAAATGAAATATGATGTCGAATATTGTCAAATCTTAATTCAACATTCCATCTGGCTGAAAGCCGCATGGCCGGATTAGCTTCTGCATGCAGTCCAGCAGAGGATGGAAGACATCCTCCCTCACTTGGGGAAGAGGTGGGCCTGGGATATCCTCCGTTCTCAGAAGGTAGAGTTCGGATGCGTTGGTCAACCCCCACTGCGACATTCATTTTGAATCACTTTGACATGCTGGCTAAACTTTATTTGTCGTTTTTTGGAACAGCTGAATTTCAATGGTTCAGGAAATTGCTATGCCAACTGTGGGGAATGCATCCGCACCATACCATCCTAGTGTCTTAGTGCTACGTATTCTAATGGCGAATCCCAAGGAATTCAGCCTGAAGGTGCCTGACCCTCCACCAGATGCACAACTTTGATCAATGGATGGATGTCTGCAAGCTGTACCTTCAACAAGAGTATGACCTACCGACCTTCCTGTCAGATCTGTCAAGGGACGTTGGCTGCTTATAAAAGGTCCTTTCCTTTTATTCCATGTTCCATGCATTTTTAATCCACATCCACAAACCATGTTTCATATCTATTGTGTTCCGTGTTTTTTCCCACGTAGTCACATCTTCAGCTGCGGGAGTTCTTACTTCTCCATGAATCGTTTGCCGCTTCGGGGTGCCCTTGCCTGCCCCTTCGGCTTGATTTTGAGAGCATATGAGACCATAGCAGATTTGTGAAACCAGGCATTCCGAATCCCCTCTGTTCTCCGACCTGCTATTGCATTTGGGGTAGTCTTTATCAACATCCAATCATGCTTAAACATGGATTTTCAATGATTTTCTTGGATTTTCTGCAGAATGTCCTTGACGTCCGTGCTTTTGGATGTGATTGCCGCACCTGGATCTGGTTCTTATCAGGCCACGAATGGCCGCCACGAGCGCCAGGGGATGCCCCGGCGTTTGCCAAGCAGGGCCGGGTTAGTGATATAGAGACAGCGCGCGGAAAAGGGTTGTGTTTCTCAGTTGTGGAGCTGTCCAGGACATGGGTCTTGAGGACAAAAAAGCTGAAGGTTTCATGTCTGACCTGTGCCCCCCAAAAAAGCTGGTCCTCATTTGAGTGCAAGTTGATCAACGTCTTTGGGACTGGTTGAAAAAAACACACACATATATATATAATATATAATATACGTATATATATATATGATATATATATATATATGATATGATATATAGATGATTATAGATTGTGATATGATAAATACATATAAATACATATGATATGATGATATATGATGTGAATTGGTATGATATGATATGATCAAGAACCAGGCTCACCAGGCCATCATGCATTCTTTCGCCGGGGTGAACGGGCCATGGGTTTTTCACGAGGTCAACTCTTCCGGCATTACTTGCAGTGGCGCAGGAGCGGAACCGCTTGGGAAAACTACCAACCAGAAATTGAGATAATCAACGATAATTGGGCAATAATAATAATATAAACTCATGTATAGTTCATCAAATACCGTAAACTATGGTAAACATCAATCATGTACACATGTAGAATCAACGTCACATTGGGATTAAAACCAACCATAATTGGGGATTAAATTCTGATCTATATAATCAATTCTAGTAAATCAATCATGTTTATATTAAATGAACAGAAATTGAGCATAATTGAGCAGAATCAACGTAAATGGCATGTAGAGATTCTTTTTGAAGTTATGTGCCTGTGGCGAGAGCTTAAACCCTAGGCGCGAAAGCAGCGCGAAAGTGCCATTCTCGTGAAATGTTGAGAAAGTTCCTGCGACAGTCAGAAATGACACGGTCAAATCTACTTCATTGACATTTACAACACAAGGCATATTTTTATTTTTGATGTTATTGGTCGGCGAAAGCCGCCACGTGAGTGACCATATCCAACTTGGCATTGCGAAAGTGAACTCAAAAAATTGCGCGCGAAAGCAGAACGAAAGCAATGGGAAAAGCACAACAGCAGGAGTACAACCATTTACTCTACTATGTATATATATATTTCGCTGCTGCTGCTCAATTATGGGATTAAAAACCAATCAATCATGGGGCTTTCAGCTGATGTTGGATGAGTTCGGTGGCTTCAAGTGTGCTTCACTTTCCATCCTCCTGGGATGCAGAAATTGCCAGGGAAGGGCAGGGCGAGGTGGAACGGATCCAAGCGAAGATTGCGGGAGACCCAGCCGGCTGGAAATGGTGCCAGGGATGGGCCAAGCTTTGACAGGAAAGATGCTGATCTTGGATGATAAAAGTTATGCTTGGGGTCAGATGCTACAAGGATATGCATATACTTGTATAATTGTATATATTTTATTATTGGAATTATGTATTTGCAGGTATGTGTGGTATGTCATGATGTTTTTTTCTGCAATTTGGTTCCTGTTGCATCCATTTTATTCTTTTCCCCCAGTACACCCCTAGATTTAACAAACATTGGGTCTGAAAGATGATGTTCCTTCTGATTTTGCAGTAACTTACAACCATTTTTTGGTTCCACACAATCTGAATCTACAAAAACATATGTACAGATTGTCCTGTCTGCAGATTTAGCAGCCCCCCCAAAATATACAAGAATAACACCGTATACCAACACAATGGTAAATTACTTTTCATTTTTTTCCTATCTTGTTTGGATAATCCACCATGTATAGCTACAAACCTCGATTTATAGGAGATTTACCAGCCAACCATCGACAATGTTTGATTCCCAAAGGCTGCTTGTAGCATGGGTTATATACCCATTATCTACCCATTTGAGATGGTTAAATCCTGTAAAAACCCATTAAACACCCACTAAGTCCCAATATACATAATATACACACACACATATATATATATATATTATATATGACCACAATCCCATGAATCCCCCATTAAATCCCATTAAATCATGTTTTTAGCCATGTTGACGCCTCAGAATTTTTCGTTGCCAAGGACGACATGTGGCTTCAAGAGATGATGTTGGGCTGCGACACCGAACTCTTTGAGACGGTTCGAAAGGCCTACGATTGGTACTGGTACCAGGATTTTTTTAAAGAAAAAAAACAATATATTTTTTTTGTTGATAAACCGCCACTTCACAATGTAAACTGGGGAGTTTTATTGTGTCACTTGATTTCATGGTGTATGATGTAATGGAAGGTTTTTAACCAATAATTCTTATGAGACACATGTCATATATAGGTATACGTCATTGATTTCTAATTGGAATGTTCAAACATGTTGAAACTCAGTTTTGGGGCATGGTTTTACTTTACTCCATTTTGGTGCATTGGGTGTGGTTTATTTTTGCGTTAGCCACATGTATGGGGATGTGTCAAAGCCGTGGCACCTTTGATGAACATCCCCAAAGTGAATAGAATAGTTATAGTTGAACTCTGAATGTCCTTACCCATTTGTAATCAAACAGGGCAATGGCAAATCCCCTATAAAGCAGATTTGAACGGATGACGTCTCATGGAGAGGCCGATTCTTCAGTATTTGGGAGGTTCTACTTTAGTGTGGTAAACACAATAGACCAACCATTTGGAGTTTTTTTTAATTAACGAACCGTTGACGTAATATACATTGAGGATGTGTGGGATATATAATTATATATATAAATATATACATACGTAAACATATTTGGGCGTACCTCATTGCATGTTTTGGTTTGCACCTGGACAATGCCTAGGCATTCCAAGTAATTTCTTCGGATCCGGTGATGTTGTCCACAGCACAGCATAAATCTGCATCAAACTGAACAGCAGCAGTCGAATGTGTCAAAATTCGAGCCGCCAAAAACGCCCTAGAATTGGGTCACTTTCAGAGTGTTGCAAGCAATAAATGTGGCATTTCCACAGTTTGGGGCCACAATCATCTACCATCATGACGTATACAGTTGGCAGGCATCCACCAGTGCAGAAACTTGCCCTGTGCTATCCACCATCGCTGGTCATCCAGCGACCCCTGCCGGACGTGAGCCATGGCCACCATGCCGCCATGTGATGCATTTGGAGCGATTCCTGAAGACTGCAGACGAAGTAGGAGTGATTCCGCAGTTGGACGAGTTGGATGGTAGCCACATCTCCAAAAGTGCCACTTGGGGGTACCACATAAGGTCTCAAGGCCTATTATGGATCTTTCCAGAGTTTGGTGTCCATAGTAATAGTGTTTGGCTGGCTGTTTCACATATAATGGATATAGTATGAGAGTCACCGACAATTATTGTAATACTATAATTTAGTTTTGCTTTGCCTTTGCCTTTTTGAGGTTGCACACAACCTTTATAATCGATAGGGGACGACCTTATACCGATACCCCATTTGTGATACCTCCGGGAGTACTGAAATCCTCACAACAGATAGGGGAGGAGCCTAATTTGTGCATGGCAGTAAATTTAACAAATACTTTTGTCCGCAACATTTATATACATTTATTGATTAGATTTATTTATTCATTTATTCCATGCCATCAGCTCGCATGATGGTCAAGTGCCAGTGAGGAGCTTGGGAAGAGCGTTTACGTCCTGTGCTTGGCTCATGGAGGAAGAACCCTGCCTTGGCCACGCAGGCTGCTTGGCGCCAGAGTCGCCAGAGGGTGCCTCGAAATTTAGGAGGAATGCGCCAATTTTCACGGTCAATTTCTTCAAGATTGGTACATTTACATGCATAGCTTCTTCTGAGATATTTTTGATGAATGATTTGTACACGATAAGGATTTAAGGGCTGCACATTTTTGAGAAGCAACCCACAGATGGGAGGCAACCGGTGGCATGGTAGAGTGCGAAGTCCTGGAGAAAGCAACTGCTATATATATATATATACATATAATATATATATATAATATATATATATAATATATATATTATTTATATATATATATTATATATATATATATTATAGTCGCAAAAAAACGCTTGATCTTACGGGAGGTTAGAAATTGCTCGAAACCACAGGTTCAGGTTCTATGCCATCGGATGCCATTGGCAGCCAGTGAGCTGTCTGAAACGATTGCCACGCGTCTCGCAGTCTGTATCGGCATATCAATGTTGAACTTGGCCAGCTTGCAAGTCAGGTCTTGTGCAGGCTCCGTTCGGCCCGACGATCCAGAGCCGCTTGCATCCTGTGGCACGTCTCAAGTGGCAGTATTTAGTCTTCTTTTGATATGCCGCTATGCCTATATATGCCTGGACGGTAAGATAATGTTAACCCAAGGATTTACAAGGCACCAGTTCACTGATAGGGGGGATAGGCATTTTTGGGGTAGTTTATCCCGATATTGTTTGTTTCAACCAACAGAGTGCATTGATTTGGAGTTGATTTGCGGGCCAGGTGCTGTGGTGTGCATGATTCAGCACCCCTTCAAACATGATAGCCCAAGCAGCAAAAAATATGGCCCAAGAATGATGCCAAATTAAAGGAGCGTGGACAAACACTAGAAAGAGAAATTAATGTCAACCTTGGATTACTACGATTTGATTGAGTATCCTCCCTACTAAACCTGGAGGGGTTATCATAAAATTTGGGGTTAACATCATCCTTGATATCCTTGTTGTTACCGGTTGTTCCCCCAGGTATTTTGCAGATCCCTGCAGGTTGCAGGCCATGAATTCCAGCCGCATCGTTCCCAACGAGTTTCACCTTCATAGCGCCTTGAGCGCCTGCGAACGATGCAGCGACTGGAGCCGGGCGCTGTGGCAGTTAGGTTGGGATCGATGTGGATTTTTTGATCTGTGAGAAGTTCTTAGACTATTAGATCATCTTAGACCACTTTGGATCACTTTGAGATATTTTGATTATTTTGATCGCAATTTCAAATCCATTGGGAAGTTCTGCGGGTTTTCCTGAGAACCTTTGGGCTGCCGCGCAGGTGACGCTTCCAGCTTTGGCATTTCAAGCAGCACGGTAGCCTTCAACAGCACAATGAGTGCGTGTGAAAAGAGCCACCATTGGCAATGGTCCTTGCAGCTCGACAGCAGATAAAACTAAAACATTATGAAATTGGATAAAACACACACACAGATAGATAGATAGATAGATAAGATAAGATAAGATAAGATAAGATAAGATAAATAGATAGATAGATAGATAGATAGATAGATAGATTGGATAGATTAGATAGATTATAGATAGATTAGATAGATAGATAGATAGATAGATTAGATTAGATAAGATAAGATAAGATAAGATAAATAGATAGATAGATAGATAGATAGATTGGATAGATTAGATAGATTATAGATAGATAGATAGATAGATAAGATAGATAAGATAGATAAGATAGATAAGATAAGATAGATAAGATAGATAAGATAGATAAGATAGATAGATTAGATAGATTAGATAGATTAGATAGATAAGATTAGATAGATTAGATAGATTAGATAGATTAGATAGATTAGATAGATTAGATAGATTAGATAGATTAGATAGATTAGATAGATTAGATAGATTAGATAGATTAGATAGATTAGATAGATTAGATAGATAGATAGATAGATAGATAGATAGATAGATAGATAGATATAGATAGATATAGATAGATAGATAGATAGATAGATAGATTGGATAGATTAGATAGATTATAGATAGATAGATAGATAGATAGATAGATAGATTAGATAGATAAGATAGATAAGATAGATAAGATAAGATAGATTAGATAGATTAGATAGATTAGATAGATTAGATAGATTAGATAGATAGATAGATATAGATAGATTAGATAGATTAGATAGATTAGATAGATTAGATAGATTAGATAGATAGATAGATATAGATAGATAGATAGATAGATAATATACATATATATATATTATTATTAACCATCATTAATCGCTATTAACCATTATTAACCATGATTAACTACTACTAACCAATATATAACAGTAACAATCAGCAACACCAGACATTTCAGGAGTACTGCCGGGATCTGCCGTCCAATCTTGAGGCATCTGCATAAGGAGATGGAGCAGCAGATGATCAGCAAGGCCTCGACTTTATTCTTGTCTGGTGCTTCAATATATTTTATATAAATATTTAACATATATTTTGATCTTGACAAGTTTTAACTTATATTTTAACACATATCTAGCTCCAAGTTACCCAAATTCAGAAAATGTACATATACTATGAATCCATCGTACTCCAGACCTGTCTCTTTGGACCCACTGTTTTCCCAACCTGATTCCCTGTGTGTGACATGTTTCACACCTTTGAAATGACTGGTTGCGATGGGAAGACCTTTCAGCTCAATTTGGAAATTGTTTGGCACCATGTCGATGCCTTGTGCTGTTCCTGAAATGCTATGGACCCTGGATGAGCTAAAGCGTGTCCTGATAAGTGAGTTTCCCATTTTGGAGACTGAAGAAGGAGATGGTTTCAAAATATTGTTTGACTTGTTTGTTGAGTGGGCTGAAATCCTGTTAAATTTACAACAACCAGCATCCGCTCGCTCTGTTGAATTTGGGGAATTGTGGCCCAGAATCCTTCTCTCAGGGGATTTCCGGCCGCGCATACTCATGTCGCATCGCACTCGAGGGGTGTCATCGCACCACAGAGGACCCCATCGCACTCCACACACCTACTCACAGATCATCGTACCCCACAAAAGGGATCGTACACCAGAAAAACTTGCGCAGACAGCCAAAAACATTTTTTTTCGAAAAATTGACCTGAAGAGTTTTTTTCATTTTTTTTCCTCTTCGGAGGTAAAATGCTCTGGAACCTGATAATATGGAATATGGGGGAAATGGTTGTTTTTCCAGCGTTTTGAGCAGTCGCGCATACAATCGCATTCCATGAAATTTTGATACTTTTGACCTGTGGAGGCTATGGAAATTCTCGATTGTTGTCTTAGTCGTGCGCGATAGAGTGTGATGCCTTGTGGGTATGTGGAATGGAATTTGCAGCCTCCATTTGGTCAAAAATGATATTCACATATGCCTGAGAAGCCCACATGCAGGAACGGCAACGCATACGGGGGGGGCATCGTACTCCAGGGGTAGCATCCTACTCAATGTAACTGTATTAAGTGAAAATATGGTACCATTTGGGTTCGAGGAAGAACAGCGTAATCCAGACTTGGCCCTGTTTACAGATGCGGAGGCTGAGCCGCCAGCCAAACGCATCAAAAAATAAGCTGAACAGCTTATCCAATGGTCTTAAAAGATCCTAGAGAGAAGTTGATGATTGATGAGAGAAACAAGACTTTATGATTATGTTTATCCAAGAAATCATTGCTTGAAAAGGTTCTCAGCGGGGTTAAACATGTGCGATTGGACATGACAGCACGTGACAAGGGAGCGCCTGACAAGGGTCACACAACCTTATTCTCATCATCAAAGGTCGTTCATTATTTTCCAAATTTCCGGAGCTATTTTGGCATGGAATATGAACAGCCTTGGAATATGGGTAAGATTTTGCTAGAACATATGTATATTTTATATAAATATTTAACATATTTTGACATGTTTTAACTGTTCTTTTAGATCTTTTAGATCTAAAAAAGCGTATCTCTTGAAAGATTTTGAGATACTGTATTTTGAGTGTCCATCTGACAGATCTGATTCCATCCCCAGGATGATCCTAAGCAGCCGCAGGACACCATCTCCTACAGTGCGGGAATTAGTGCTTGTGAGAAGGCACGCTACGGAGACGGGGTGAGAAAATAGCCGGAAAACCCCATTATGTTTTTTTTTTTGTAGTCCAAAAACTATGCTTCATGGTTTCCTGTAGGTTTCCCTCTGTCTGTATTGTACCAACATTGAAACGCAGTGACAAGCCCTCAGATGACCAGAACATCTTTGCCAACTGTCACCTGCCTTGCTGTTGAATTCGACAGGCGGGTCGGTGGCAGCAGGCCCTAGTTCTTTTCCACGAAATGCAAAAGCGGCGAGTCCGCAAAGATCAGATTCTGCACCATGGCGGTAGCGATGCGGAAATTAGGGACAAATTGGAAGGCGACACCGCATTGGCACAGGAAAACCAGCGAAGGCCAATTATAATATATTTTAATCTATTTCCATCAATTTCCATCAATCATATCATATCAATGGACATGGAAAGATAGCAAAGATTGGAAAGCCAGACGCCAGCCAAACTGTAGTACTTTCCACTCTTGGGCTACGAATCCTGGGGGGCCAACCAGAAGCTGCGCTGGGTGCTGCTATCAACCAATGATCAATGAGCTGCGCCGCTGCGCTGTTCAGGTATGGTGCGGCCATCAGTGCTTGTGCCACTTAGCTAGGGACGGATCATGACTGCGAGTTAGCTACTGGTTTGATATCAGGGGATGCCATGGAATGCAAGAACTTTGCGCTGGGCATTTTTGTGAGTTTTGATGAGATGATGCGCAGTGCCAGCTACGTCCAACCGGATCATTTTGGATACAGTAGGTTCAAGTCAAGTTAAGATGGTCAAGACATGTCAAGATGATTGGTATTACCAGACCATCTGCTGTCAAAGTCTGGTTGATCATCACCTTTCAATATATATACATATATATACATATATATATATAAATATAGATAAATATCAAGTACTTTCAATGACGTGGACAAAGTATTATAATAAATTGCAATCCTTTACTGAAAACGTCAGCCATTTGGGGATAGTTGCCCTAAATGGTCCATTCCCATGATGTGCTGCTGTGCTTGTTTGGCCACGCCTTAGTCGCCAGACAACTGAGGAGAAGGGCGAAGCATGGGAATGCGCGTTGACATTGCATCAGCAGTGCCTGGACGAAGGCCAGGGCAGGGGCTGGACTGCGTGGAAGGGGCTGGACTGCAGATCTGAATAGGCGGGCACAAAATCAATCAACCATCCGTATCCATCCATCCCAAAACTTGAGGATTTGAAACTGGTCAGCATCTTCAGACCGTTGGAGAAGAGAGTCTGGCCCATACCTGAGTGTAGCCTGAGGCATCCGTCAAGATGAGGTGATCCATGGCGCCTGCATCAGCGCGTTTGAGAAAGGTGGGGGCTTTCACTGCAGCTAGCAGGGCCCAGAACAGTGGAACATGGCAGTTCAAAAAGTTATATAAATGAAGTCAAAAGCACGAAATTCTCCAACATTGTCCGGCGATGTCCAACTCATTTGTGCTACAGACGCTGCTACCCGGTACCCCAGCATCGTCCAGCATCATTTAAAACGACACGCTCCACCCCTTGCCGCGCCGCGGTGTGTCAGCAGGCGCTCAATGGCAGCTGGCTCTGTCCTTTTTGGACAAGGTGCCGGCTTCCAGGGTGGCTTGCTGTGCTGCAATCAGTGTTGCTTGGCTTCCCATTTCCCAGCCACGGAGCTGACAAAGCTGGCTGACAGGATGATAGGCCCATAGGCAATGTAGGTATCGGAATGGTAAGCGGTTTCCAAAGTTTCCATGATCCTGATTCGGTCCCTGTCCATCTTTGGGATTTTGGATGATGAACCCAAATAGAAATTCAGACTCCTACAGCTCCTGATAGTCCAATCTTCATCCTAGATATCCTAGGCTTGTGAAAAGGCAGCGCGCTGGCAGACAGCTTTAGGTCTGCTGGCAACACAGACAGTGGAGGCTATGCAGACTAAGGTGCCAAGGGGAAGGTGTTCCAGGTTAGTTTTCCAAAAATGGACTGATGGATGGAAGTTGGATTGTCACGGAATCCCCATGAGAATTCAGACATCTGAAACCGGGCCGTGATATTTGGATGTAAGTATATATAGTACCCAGCGCTTCCAAAGGAAAGGTCGTTATCACAAAGGACAGGTTTGACTAAAAGGCTACAATTATTACAGGAAACTATGAAAACATTGAGAACCACATTGTCACTGGCTCTTTACAGCCTTTTCACTCACTTTTCACGGCCTTTTCACGTTTATCGTAAGAACATGTAATTTCATCAAAGTTGACCGTTGAAGGTGGATGTCGCCAGGAGCGCAGCGATCAGTGTGCCTTGGAAGCCGGCTCTGGAACTTTTTATCGAGGGGGACAATCCCAATGTTTAAGTGGAAAATATCAGGAAGTCATCCAAAATTCACCCAATTAAATATCGAGATTTCCCATGAGTTCCCAATATATAGGGAATAGATCATCTTGTAAATCCTCTATAGATGATGAAGGGCGTATTTTCGCGTGCAAGATATCAGCACAGGCAAGGTTTGCAGCTGGCGCAGCCATTTGCATCATCGGCTATGTTTTGCCGTCACTTGGAACAGATGTCTTCCATAAAGGCTCAGGGACAGATGGCGCAGCCAAGTGAATCAAAATTATCAAAGTCCGTGATTTGCAGCTGATGCCGAGTCAAAGTTCTGATGCATGACATTTCGGCATATTTCGACATCAAAAAACTCCAAGGTAAGGGCAACTGGAGCGCAAACATGCAACATTTGGACACATTTGGGATTGTCCAAGACTTGCGGGGTACCATGGGGTATCCCAATTTGTTGCCATGGATCGGAAACATGAAAACATCAAGATAAATCATGAACTTTCTTAAACTTATATATATATATATATTATATATAATATTTTTGTATATGTGTTCCTTTGAACATCTAAGAACAAACCCATTGAAGTCGCCCAGCGCCTGACCATGGCGTCATGGGTTGTTTGGAGATCCTCTTGGATGCTACGGCCACGGTGAGGGAGCTGCATTTGATCTTCTCTGGCTGTGAGGGATATCAGAAGGCGACTGTAAACCTGGCAGTTTGCTTCAGAACATCTTTACCCTCTGGTAAGCCGAATTGAGTTTGCTATGGAAGTCACCATCTTTAAGAACTTCTAAGATGTCAATCAACTATATTATAAATGGGTCATTTTCAATAGCTATGTTAAATTACCAGAGGGTATTTTGTTTCGTTCTTTTTTTTCCCAATGTTCTGATGGATTTTCAGATCTTTTTGAGGCGACAGCCTGGTGTGGGGTTGGGTTGGCGGTTTGGATGCCCTTTCATCGCGCGTTTTGGCCATTCCGAAGAACCAATACAACCCACAAGGCAACCGTTGGATGAGATTTGCTCCAAAGATAGCCATATGAGAGGTTTCAACGGGTTCTGTCATCAAACATCAAGCGCATCAAACACCCCACAATTCATCCCGTTCGCATCCCGTTTGCATGCGGAACGTCAAGTGGATTTTGTGGCCCTACTCAACTATTCTCATAATCACACACAAGGCAATGTTCATCTTAGATAACAGCAAGATGGCTGGACAACTTTGGTTCACCAGCAGGTCCAGTATGAATCAAGCTAGTCTCAAGCCAGTCTCGGCGCTGTGAGTCAAGGTCAACAGTCACCTGGGTTTGGTGCACTTCTCATCTCCCACTTTGGCCAATCGTGCCATTGAAACTGGGCTTCAGCTGGTGTAGATCTCAACTTTCCTGATGATTTGAGTAAACGTGGGGATTTGGGACTGCGCTGTGTTTTCTATGTCAAGAACAAGAATTTGTCAGGCGATGGAAAAAATATGAAAACACTGATACATCCCCCAATTATGCATCCTTATGACTCCTTATGTGATCCTTATGTGTATCATTCTATGGGTAACACCTCTGTTTTTGGCTGATTGAGTCGTTGTTGGACCGGCATTTTAAGCGATGCCCTGAGGATTCCAGGCGTAGCACCAGCTGGTCTCCCGAGGGCGAGCTGGTGTCAATGCGCCTGGCGGGACCCACCGGCTCCGTCACACGCAGGAAGGACCTGACACCACGTGTCACTGGGCTACCATGAGATTCCAGATATTTCCAGATGGTTCCGGTGTAAGCACTCAACGGCAATCATGAATCCATATGAATCCGCAATCTGTCCAATTACCTCTTGCGGCTTTCATGCATTGTACTGTACACAGAGAAGAAACATGAAGAAATCATAAGAAAACCACTTACTGATATTACTGTAAGCACTGGCAACGGCCTTTCCAAACACGACAGGGTGTCATTTTCATTTGCAAAGCTTCGGACACTTTCCAGCTGCCAACCTTTGATGTGGTGTCTCAACAGTGGTCCCCAGATACATTGGTTTACATAATCATGTTCCCTAACTTGATAAACCCAATAGGAAAACCATTGGGATTGTTTCTGCCATCATTTTTTTCACCCATTTCAGGCCAAATTTTCGGTATGATATGATTCATTGTTGTTCCACTTTGCCACTTTTTTTTTTTTGTATAATTTTTATTACCAGTAGAGGTGCAATTTTCTTCACCAACCCCTGGCCATTCGCCGTACGCCCTAGGTGCGTGGCGAGGCTCAGCAGAGCAAAAAGCTGCTGCTGCATGCGATGGAACAGAAATCCTCCAGGGAACTGGACCTGGCGATCAGCAAAGCCTCGGTACCTCGGCAGAGGTGCAACCGAAAGCACACGGGTTTTTGGAGGACTTTGGAACATCATTTTCCCCATGATTTCATATTATTTCATGGCAATTGGAAAGGGCCACGGAATATTTTTATCACCAAGTTCAGTGGCTAAGTTGCACTACAGGCCACAGGAGTAGTGAGTTGATCAATGTCAATGGAGTGAGAAAAAAACGTCCTGTGCTTCGATGACGTTGAATTATGACATACAAAAATCCAATATCGGAAGCCACATCAGTGCCTAGAAATGAGCGGCGCCCATTGCTTACAACGACGACCATTTGCGTAATTTTTGTCAGTAACTTTCATGATTTTTACTGCCTGGGCCTTCTGATACCGAAGGAGATGATGATTTTGGTTTGTCCAAACACGGGGTGTACGGATGTATGCCACATACCTACCCCATAATTGGCTGATGAATCATCATTTTCCCATCTTTCATATGAGGAAATCATAGGAAATCCTCTGAGAAGCCCTGGCAAAAAAATATGAGTAAGCGGACATGGGATGTTCAAATTTGTGCGAAAACATTCACAACCGATAGGGGACCACCCACTTTGGCCATGTCCATTGCGGGTAGCAGGTAATTTTGTCCGCCACACACACAGATATTATATGATATTATATAATACTATATATACGTATATATATATAGACAGATGTTCCATGCGAATATGGATAAGTAATATGGAATCCCGGTATCATCCGCTATTTGCCATGGTATTTTCGACACACCCAATCTGCCTCATCTATATCTGCCTCACCGTCACCCAGGAGTTCTGGCCCGAGACTGACCCAGATCTCCTGCAAGGCCAGAGCCTCTTGGCCCAGTTGACTCGCCCTGTGGAGATGCGCAAGGCTTTGGGTGCGCACGGCCGTGCACAGGCGGCTTCCACCCGGATGCGGATGCGGCCAGCCAAGGGAAAAAACAGCTCCAATAGTCAACAATAGCAATCCAAAAATTTCCAACATAATTTTACTTGAATAACTTAATAAGAACGTCAACGAAACCTTGCGTGTGTGTGGGTCTGTTTTGCAAAGGTTGTCGATTTTCGTTGGGCGTATTTCCATATGTTCCCTCGTTTTGGCTGCAACTCGGTGCCAATTTTGAAGCCAGCGCGAAACCATGCCGAAATATGCTCAAATTAGAATAAATGTCAACCTTGTTTTCCAAGTTGGCACATTTAAAACCAGTTGATTTACCAAGAAATCATGGGGTGTTTCCTTATGCTTCTTGGAGTTCCTGCCAGGTGAAACTGGCGAAGTTCCACCCTCGGAATTCCAGATCCGTGACACCCCCGCGCCGTGCTCGAGAAATGCGGGGGGAAGCGCTTTCTGCAGCCACTTCTGCACTCAGCAGTGGGGTGGCTACCAACCTGTCAGTCTTGCGAAAAACTGAAAGAGCTGCCAGGGAATTTTCAGACACTGGGAAGGCATGAGTGAATTTGGGCTGGTGGTTGGTTAATTTCTCGGCGGTTGGCACAAAGCTGTGATAGAGAATCAGATGGATGTTGGGTTTGGCAAAACATGGCGGTCTGGTCTGTTACACAATTAAACGCATGTATGTAGATTGCTGGAAGTTCCAGGAACCATGTAATGTTGCTTTATTTTGGATACGCCGCTCAGGCCGACACGCGCATATTTTTTTAAATAATATATACATGCACATCTAAGTGCATGTGTGATATTGTGATATGTATGGTTGTGTATACATTTGCGTTGTTTTGTTTTGAACAAATGCAGTCATACAAAGATGCACAGATACGCACAATTCTACCTTCTAAAGGCATGCAATCAGATGCACAAATCCAATAACATATGCAACATACAAGTACTATAGTATGTATATATATATGTACACTATATATACATGTAGAAACGGCACAGACAGGTAGATGTAAGTGATGTAAGTGCGGATGGACAGATTTAGATAGACCGACAGACAGACAAATAGAGTTTGACCGAGTTTGCCTGATGTGATATTTAGACTCTTTAGATTGTGCTTTTGAAAGATGCTGGTCCCCACAGAGAGATACGCCACTGCTGATCTTGGAAATCTCGCTCGCGTTGCCCCAGGAGAGCTGGACCAACTCAGCGTGGGCAGATCTGTCACAGGCCTTGGAAACTCGAAACTTTGACCTTTTACCTGAGGCCATCGAGGAATGTGAGGCTGTCTTAAACGCCATCCATGCGGCAGATCTTGTCCCTTGGCGGTAATGGTGAGGGGGCTGGGCGGGCTGGAGACGTGGCCTGTATGATCAGATTCGTCGTGATTCGTCACTGGCGCACAGGTTGATTATATAGGATGACATAGTCGTAAGTTAGTTATATCATGTTATATATGTATAATTATGTATACATATATATATATGATTATATATATGTATATATATATATATGTGTGTGTGTGTATGTGTTGTATATATCATATCTAAATGATGTTGTATCATGTTGTATCTTCACAACGAACGCAGAGGCCCACATGCATTATGTTCCCAGTCCCCTGAAACCGCACACGGCTCCGCCCTCTGGGTCTAGGTATACAACGGGTGATATCAGTAATGCTCTCAGCCAATGCAGGAGACTATATATAAGACACGCACACACACACACACACGCACATATATATATATATATATATATATACATATATACATATATTATATACTTTTATTTATTTATTATTTATTTATTATAGTTTATATATGTATAGAACCAATAGTCACTATATATATATACATTTATGTATATAATGAACATACAATTGAATACACATATATGCGCAGATGCTGGGTAGATAGGGTCAGTTGACTCGTCTGGTGCAAAGACCTGGAAAGCGAGGTGGCTTGGTTTCATAAAGTACAAAAAAGTACCTTGATCTTAATTATGTCATGTCTAATAAGTTACATGTTTTCACAACTAGCATGTTACATGATTAGATCACGTCATTAGTCTTTAGTACAGATCCAACACAACTCATTTCCACATCATTGATAAAGTGCATCCTCAAATAATAAGGCCTTTACAAAGCACACAGCAATCTGCTGAGAAATCTGGGTCAAAATTGGGTGCCCCAATACTTCGATGATTAATGGTTAATTCATGAAACCCTTAGATATACTCAGATTCTAGTTCCTCAAAAATATCGACATTTCACAATCTCTGGATTTTTTCCCCTTCAACCCGTCCTGTCCCATCCGAGGCGCAGATTGGTCCTGCTGTTTCTGCTGAGATGCAGGACCTGCTGCAGTGCGCCGTGCGCATCGCGGAGGGCTCCTCCGGCTTCGGCCTGGAGCAACGCCGCTGGGAGGCGCTGCAGCAGCTCAGGGGCGCCGTAAAAAAACGGCGAGGAGCGGCGTGGAGATTTTTTCGGGAAAATGGTGGATGGAATGGTGGATTTAGTATGATTTAGTGGCGATTTATGGGGATTTCGTGGGTTTTAAGATGGTGGAAATGAAGTTGAATGGGACTTATGATATGATTCAACGGGATTTAGCCAATCAAAAAACGATGTTACCCACTGGTTATGTCACATAGCTTAGAAAGTCTCCTTTTTTGTAGATAATCATTTGAATTAACTAATGTGATATAGTGTGTGCTACTTGTCTACATGGATTGATTGACTAGATCAACATATTCAATCAAGTAATATGTAGGTATATTATGTGCGAATAAAATGTATTTGACACATATTGATTCGATGTAGTAGTGATTATACCGTTAAAATGAAAGTTAGAATGCCTCCGCGAATTCCAAATATTCCTCCCCCTCAGTTAGAATGCGGCCCGCGCACGGCAAAAAATCCTTCAGTTAGAATGCCTCCCCACCCGGGTTTTAAGTTTTTTTGTTTTTGGAGAACCCTTTGCACAAATCCCTCACTTAGAATGCCTCCGCACTATGAATATCATCAGATGTTAGAATGCAGTTGGAATGCTTCCCCCTTGAAATTGCTTTCTACCAGCATTTCAGCAATTAGAACGCTTCCCCCTTGAAATTGCTTTGCCAGCATTTCAGCAGTTAGAATGTTTCGCCCTTGAAATGGCTTTTTACCAGAATTTCATCAGTTAGAACGCTTCCCCCTTGAAGTTGCTTTTACACAAGCATTTCAGCAGTTAGAATGTTTCTCCCTTAAAATGGTTTTTCTACCAGCATTTCAGCAATTAGAATGCTTTTCTTGAAATTGTTTTTTACCAGTATTTCAGCAGATAGAATGCTTCCCCCCTTGAATAGCTTTTTACCAGCATTTCATCAGTTAGAATGCTTCCGCCTTGAAACGGCTTTTTACCAGCTTTTCAGCAGTTAGAATGCTTTCCCTTTGAAATTGCTTTTTACAAGCATTTCAGCAGTTGGAATGCTTTCCCCTTGAAATTGCTTTCTACCAGCATTTCTGCAATTAGAACGCTTCCTCCTTGAAGTTGCTTTTGCCAGCATTTCAGCAGTTGGAATGCTTCCCAGCATTTCAGCAATTAGAATGCTTCCCCCTTGAAATTGTTTTTTTACCAGCATTTCAGCAATTAGAATGCTTTTCTTGAAAATGTTTTTTTACCAGTATTTCAGCAGTTGGAATGCTTCCCCCCTTGAAATGGCTTTTTACCAGCATTTCATCAGTTAGAATGCTTCCCCCTTGAAATTGCTTTTTACCAGCCTTTCAGCAGTTCGAATGCTTCCGCCCTTGAAATGGTTTTTTACCAGCATTTCATCAGTTAGAAAGCTTCCCCCTTGATTTTTTTTCAACCACCTTTTCAGCAGTTAGAATGCTTCCCCGATGAAATTGCTTTTACACAAGCACTTCAGCAGTTAGAATGTTTCCCCCTTGAAATTGCTTTCTACCAGCATTTCAGCAATTAGAACGCTTCCCCCTTGAAATTGCTTTCTACCAGCATTTCAGCAATTAGAACGCTTCCCCCTTGAAATTGCTTTTGCCAGCATTTCAGCAGTTAGAATGCTTCCCCCTTGAAGTTGCTTTTTACACAAGCATTTCATCAGTTAGAATGCTTCCCCCTTGAAATTGTTTTTTACCAGCTTTTCAGCAGTTAGAATGCTTCCGCGTTAAATTGTTTTTTACGAGCATTTCTGCAGTTAGAATGTTTCTCCCTTGAAATTGTTTTTCTACCAGCATTTCAGCAATTAGAATGTTTTTCTTGAAATTATTTTTTACCAGTATTTCAGCAGTTAGAATGCTTCCCCCCTTGAATAGCTTTTTACCAGCATTTCATCAGTTAGAATGCTTCCCCCTTGAAACGGTTTTCTACCAGTTTTTCAGCAGTTAGATTGCTTTCCCTTTGAAATTGTTTTTTACAAGCATTTCAGCAGTTAGGATGCTTCACCCTTCAAATTGCTTTCTACCAGCATTTCAGCAATTAGAACGCTTCCCCCTTGAAATTGCTTTTGCCAGCATTTCAGCAGTTAGAATGCTTCCCAGCATTTCAGCAGTTGGAATGCTTCCCCCTTGAAGTTGCTCTTTACGCAAGCATTTCATCAGTTAGAATGCTTCCCCCTTGAAATTGTTCTTTACCAGCATTTCAGCAGTTAGAATGTTTCCCCCTTGAAATTGTTTTTTACCAGCTTTTCAGCAGTTAGAATGCTTCCGCGTTAAATTGTTTTTTACCAGCATTTCAGCAGTTAGAATGCTTTCCCCCTTGAAAAGTTTTTTACCAGCATTTCATCAGTTAGAATGCTTCCCCCTTGAAATTGTTTTTACCAACTTTTAAGCAGTTAGAATGTTTCTCCCTTGAAATTGTTTTTCTACCAGCATTTCAGCAATTAAAGTGTTTCCCCCTTGATTTTTTTTTTTTTAACCAGCCTTTCAGCAGTTTGAATGCTTCCCCCTTCAAGTTGTTTTTTACACAAACATTCAGCAGTTGGAATGCTTCCCCCTTGAAATTGTCTTCTACCAGCATTTCCGCAAATAGAACGGTTCCCTTTGAAATTGTTTTTACCAGCATTTCAACAGTTAGAATGCTTTCCCCTTCAAGTTGTACAGATATGTGCAAAAACGCGTGTGTAAATAATATTTATATATATATATGTTTAATCCCGATGGGATACATAGAATACAAAATCGATAATTTCGGCCTCAAAAACATCTCCCGGAATCGGTAAAAAAAACCCTATACATAGAATAAAAACATCTTCCGGAATCGGAAAAAAAACAACATATACATAGAATATGTCCGGCTATCCATTTTGATCCAGGAAAATAAATCTTTTCAGGTTTTTGACAGAAGCATGGATTGCTGCAGCCGCCTGTGAAGGGACAACTGCGATTTCAGTATGGAAACTGTGTTGCAACGCGTTTTGCTGGGGCAATCGCGGGGTGAACTATGAAAAAAAAACATATTTTGCAATGAAAACCAATGGAATTGGGTGGTGTTCCCCAAAAAATTGATGAATATTTTCACTGGGGACCTAAATTCTATGTAAGTAATTCTTCAAGGAATTGGGTCTCTTCCATGTATAAGGGTAAATATCATATACGTAATTCCCTTGGGCGAGTAGCAACCCTGGATGTCTGAAGTTCCTAAACTAGAACGTTTCAACAAAAAAAATCAGATCCCCCGAAATGATCAATTTCTTTTTATATTGCATTAAAAAAAATAAGTTTTGCAGGCTCACCGAAGGGTACCACCCCACGACCGGTGTCGTAGAACTATGAAAAAAACTATTTTGCAATGAAAACCAATGGAATTGGGTGGTGTTCCCCAAAAAATTGATGAATATTTTCACTGGGGACCTATATTCTATGTATGTAATTCTTCAAGGAATTGGGTCTCTTCCATGTATAAGGGTATATATCATATACGTAATTCACTTGGGCGAGTAGCAACCCTGGATGTCTGAAGTTCCTAAACTAGAACGTTTCAAAAAAAAACATATCCCCCGAAATGATCAATTTCTTTTTATATTGCATTAAAAAAATGAGTTTTTCAGGCTCACCGAAGGGTACCCCCCACGACCGGTGTCGTAGAACTATGAAAAAAACTATTTTGCAATGAAAACCAATGGAATTGGGTGGTGTTCCCCAAAAAATTGATGAATATTTTCACTGGGGACCTATATTCTATGTATGTAATTCTTCAAGGAATTGGGTCTCTTCCATGTATAAGGGTATATATCATATATGTAATTCCCTTTGGGGAGTAGCAACCCTGGATGTCTGAAGTTCCTAAACTACACTGACCTAAAAGTAGATGGCTCAACTCAAAAACCAAAATGCCCACAAGATGGCACCGCGCGGTGAGAAAGACATAAAACGAGCTCCGCCAATTCCCAAGACAGGAGGCAAAACCATCAGGAAAGACATCAGAGTTATCCCAAGACAGGATGCAAAACCACAAGGAAAGACATCAGAGTTATCCCAAGACAGGAGGCAAACCCACCAGGAAAGACAGCAGAGTTATCCCAAGACAGGAGGCAAACCCACCAGCAAAGACATCAGAGTTATCCCAAGACAGGAGGCAAACCCACCAGCAAAGACATCAGAGTTATCCCAAGACAGGAGGCAAAACCACCAGCAAAGACATCAGAGTTATCCCAAGACAGGAGGCAAAACCACCAGCAAAGACATCAGAGTTATCCCAAGACAGGAGGCAAAACCACCAGGAAAGACATCAGAGTTATCCCAAGACAGGAGGCAAAACCACCAGGAAAGACATCAGAGTTACCCCAAGACAGGAGGCAAAACCACCAGGAAGGACATCAGAGTTACCCCAGACAGGAGGCAAAACCACCAGGAAAGACATCAGAGTTTTCACAAGACAGGAGGCAAAACCATCAGGAAAGACATCAGAGTTATCCCAAGACAGGAGGCAAAACCACCAGGAAAGACATCAGAGTTTTCACAAGACAGGAGGCAAAACCATCAGGAAGGACATCAGAGTTATCCCAAGACAGGAGGCAAAACCACCAGGACTCAGGCGATAGGTCCCCACAAAGAGTGTTTGAGGACCTATCGTTGTAGTACCCCGGCTTTCTTTTTTCGTTGTTTTTGGCCAACATATGTTGAAAAATAACATTTCTATCAAAATATATCGTGTCTAACCCTAAACCCTACATCCGTTAGAAAAAAGATGAAAAAATAAGAAACATATCTGCCAACAACGGGGGGCTCACGGTATGTAAATATTATACATCTAAAAATAATCAGAATGCATATATTGAAATTGTAAAATTGCGCCATCTATGTGGAGATGCGCCATCTGTGTGGCATATTTTGGTTAGGTTGGTTTATGGATGTCAGGATGTGAGGGAGTTGCGCCATCTATGTGGCATATTTTGGCTATAGGTTGGTTATGGATGTCGGGAGATGTGAGGGAGTTGCGCCATCTATGTGGCATATGTTGGTTTGGTTGGCTTATGGATGTCGGGAGATATGAGGGAGTTACGCCATCTATGTGGGCATTCCCAGCCTGA